ATCCATTTATCAGATTGGTCAAACTGAGCCTAAATAGAATCCTCTCTCTTCTCCCAAAATCCCACCCACAAAGTGGTCTGCCATCCACCAGTCTCTTCTCAATGGCTCAAGCTGTTCCTTCGTGCACCCTGGATTCAGTGACCAGCTTGCTAGCTCTCCACCCTCTCCACCAAATTCTTGTCAGTTCCTTTCAGCCAACAGGCTGATTTGAAAAAAAGTTCTAATTCCAGAACTTGCCGACATCACTGACCATTTGTCAGAGTAGTGTTTCTACGTACAGTAGATCCATATTGTCGGTCTGGGTTAGAAGAAGGAGGTGGTTGTTCTTCAGCTCAGCCTTCCCCATCTGGGCCCATTCCAGATGTATTTGATATAATTCCCATAATTACCGAGCAGCCTGTGTGGCCGGAAATAAAAGAAGCTATAATCTGATGCAGTGTTTCTCAACCTCAGCAACTTTAAGATGTGTGGATCTCAAGTCCCAGCTGGCTGGGAATTCTGGTAGTTGAAGTCCACACATCTTGAAGTTGCTGAGGTTGAGAAACACTGCTCTAGCACATCTGGAGAATGTCAGATGGAGAAGGCTAAATATTTGCCTGCAGAAGGCCTACTGCCCTAACAAGTTACCATTTCTAGCGCACGCAGATAAAACAAGAGAATCAGAAGCAGAATAAAAGAATTCTCAGTTTGAATGTTCCAACTCTTCCAGGTTAGGAGAGGGCAGTATTAGATAACCCCTCCAAGTCCTTGTATCAACAGCAAACAATATACAAAAACAACACCACGGTTAAGATAAATATAGTTTATTCAGTTGACCCAGTCACACAGTACACTGAACCATACACTAACCATTACCTGGACTGGCATGTAAAAGGTGGCAAGCTACCTTGTGGTTTGGTCTGTTGTGCAAAGATCATCAATGAGACCGATATTTTCAGGAGTTCTTTAAAAAAAACACAGTAAGAAAGGTACCTTGCAGACAGAAATTTTGAAACCCCAGAATTAAATCTGCCACTTCATATAATAATAACGAACTCATGGCCAAGATGATAGTTCTAGAGAAACATTGATAAGAACTCCAGTTCTCTTGTGTTACCATTAGATGGCAGCCTGGAGTTTCAGTGCCACGGTAGGTCTTGGCGAGAATCATTCACCGTGTTCAAAATGTCAGGAAAAGTTGTTTTTTTTCCCTGGGAAGAATTGTGTGAGTGGGGGTGTATTCGTGACTGGGAAAGAGAGATTACATCATTCCAAACTCCCTTCCTGAGTTCATACAGTAAATTACAAACCAGGGAGTGGAAATACTTACGCCGATCTGGGACAGAATATTCTAATTGCCTTATTGGGGCAGTTTGAAATATGTGTCAAACTTTCTACAACTTTGAGTTGCGTCACTGAACACTTACAGAATTTCCTTTCCTTTACTACTGGCCAAACAATATTAAATATGAGTATATTGCAATGCATTCTATCATATTTATTTATTTCTGGGATTTATAGTCCACCTTTTAGCCACAGATGGCCTTCCACGAGAATTACAAAAAAGAAAACAATGTGATTAAAACATAATTTTAAAAGCATACTAATATACATCCATGAAAGGTTTACATAAACATACACATTTTTTCTTTCTCTTTTTTTTTGTTGGCATATTTTAAGTGCATCTTAAAATTGTGAACAAATAAGAATGAAAACTCATTATTTTTCCTATAACTTTATATCCCTGCAGGATTAAATTCTAAAAGCTGTGTTGGTTTCAGAGCTCCTGTGATTTCACCTTCTTTTTTCCCCCACCACGGCAACACTCACAGACGGTGCAACTAGCAAGGAGGAGGTTCAAATCTATTTCCCCACTCCACAGTTTGGTTCTTATATTGCGCCCCATGAAAATTTAGTTCATCTATTTAATTAGAAGAAAATAGATGTAAAGCACCACATTCTGAAACTGACATCAAAAGACTAGGGCGGCAATTTATGCTTTAAAAATGACAAATGAGATGCAGTTTGCATGCAATTTCTATGCATTGTATGCATATATATACATTACCTGTTTGTCTGTTCAATCTGCTAGTCAGATGGGGTTTGTGAACAATATCAGTTTTTTCTACAGTTCTACAGACCTTTATCTTTAAAAGCAACTTGGAGTCGACAGCCTTCCAAATAGAAGACATTGTGAAATAACTTCAAGGCTTTCAATTACAGGACTGAATACCTAGACTGGGATTATACATCATATTCAACCATGATTTACTTAATCATGTTTATATGGTAGCTTAAGTTTGCACAACACACTAAGCCTGATGTTTATTATTTGTTTAATGGCCTCTGTTGTGTTTTGTCAATTTTGTTTTTTATTAGATCATTTTAGTCTGGGCTGTCTGATTTAATGTTTTTGGCTGTTTTTATGTTTTTTCTAGTTTTGTACGCCAGCCAGAGTCCACTGGAGTTGGGCAGCCAATACATTTAAATAAATAATAATAAGCTGTAATCCATTATTTACAAACCACAATGGCTGGTTTCACCCAAAGATGGAAGCAAAATGGCCCTATGAAAAAAAATCCCAAAATACTGTGGTGGTTATGGTCCTAACTTGCTACCTGTACTTTTTATGTGAGGATAACTGAACAACTTTCTCTAAGAAAATCCTAAGAGACAGATTCATAAAGCTCCCTCCAACCTTGTATCCTGGACTTTGGCCCTGAGGCCCAACTGGTACTATATTTGAGCAGGCTACCCTAAGGCGGTAATCCTACACGTTTATGTGTGAGTAAATGCTGCTGAACTCAAACACTTTATTTGAATGAACAGATTGTACTCTGTTCCCCCATCCTTACTCATAACCCCCCCCCTTTTTAATGCGTTTTCTTCTTTCTCCATTATCTTTTTCTTGCTTTACACTCATCCTGAAGAGTCCTGGGAGCAATAAAACAAGTCTTGTTTGATTAGATCATCCTGTCTGGGGGTAGGGGGTGGAAATGCTGTAGCTTTGGGGCACAGGACATAGTTCAGTTTTATCTGAAACTTTAGATAAGTCTTTCCCAGCCTTAACTGGAGAGCAGCTGCCAGTCAGAGGCTCAGTTCAGTCATCAAGCTAAATGATAAAGTGATTTGTTTAGTTTTGATTTAGAGTGCTTTGTAAACCTAGCCATTGTGGTCCGCAAGCCATATTTATGGCTTAGTCCAATGTATGAATTGTGATCTATTAAAAATCAACATTAAAAAAACCATGGCTTAAAGCATGTGTTAACTTAGACAGTGTAGACCAATTGTCTTGATTCTGTGACCTGATTTGCAAGGCATATTTTACTGAATAAATCATGATTGGCTTGATTTGCACAATGCAGGTAGTCCTCGCTTAACGACCATTCATTCAGCGACCATTTGAAGTTACAGTGGCACTGAATGAGGAGACTTATGGCTGGTTCTTGAAGGTGTGCTTTATAATTCATGTTTACAACCCACAACGGCAGGGCTGATCATATACTCTGAACCAAAACCAAACAAACCACGCAAGAACTGTGTTATATAACTAGGCCAATATAAGACAACTTTTATTTCAATACCTGGTTCATTCCAGAGCCAACTAGATGCTCTCAGGAAGCCTCCACACAGAATCTGTAGGCAACAGCCCATTCTTGTGTTCAGCTACTGTACTGGCCTTCAGTAAAGACTATTAGCCACCAGAACAGTATTACCTGTAATGCTGTTTGAATATTAGCTGGCACCCACTGATGAACATTAGCTTGTCAGATTCCTTTTAAAAGCCATCTAAACTGTCTATATTTTCTGGAAATCATCTGAACCTGATTCTACGCCAGTTACTTTGTCCCAGCACTTTCAAGACTCGTAATAAAAGTATGACACATTATTCCTTCCAATTCCTTTCCTGCCCAACATTTTCCTCCTTTGGGGGTGTGATTTCAGCGTTCTAGGTCCCGCCCCTTCTACCCCCCAACTCCGCCCCTTCCTCCCCCTATGAAACTGACTCACTGCTGCTAATTTAATTCCTCTGCTTCATTCCAAGGATTCCAGAGGAAAACTGTCACCTTTCCAAAATACCACGCAGGCCTGTTGCTTCTTTGCGTACACTACCACATCTTAGATCTTTTTTCCAATCCTAATGAGTGGGCAGGAACTTCTTGGATGAGCCAAAATTAACCCTGCTAGTGGAGCGCTTCATTATTCTCTCTCACTCTTTTTTTTCTCCCCACAACTTTTTTTTTTAAATAAAGCAAAGTTCAGAGAAAGTTTCTCCTTTCCTTTTTCACTTTTCTCCTCTACTAGCACACACAGAACCAAGCTCTTGAGTGTCTTCTGAAAGTAAGTAAGTCTCTTTTCCCTTCCAATTCGTCTTTCTTTTTAATCCGTGATTAATCAGTTTCTTGCTGGGAACAAGTCCTATTAGAAAAGATACTGATTAAAATATGGATTCTACTGTGGGCGGGAAAGCAATGATGTAATTAACTTTTTGTATTTACAGAGGAGGGGAGACCCTAGCCCTTGAATTTAAATGCCAGGGGGTGGTGGGCTGAGATTTTAAGGATGTAGGGATGTAGAACTGTTGTTTTTATTTCTCAATTTAGTGGATGTTTTAAAAACCAGCGTTTGTCCCATGATTATGAATATGTGTTTCCAAAAGATTGTTCACATACAGTATCCTGAATGCCTTACTTTCGTTCTTAAGGAGCAAACGGAGACCCCTGTTTACATGAAAAAAAAGATATGAGAAAGCTTGAAGGAAAGCTGGGGAGAGGGGTCAGTCATTTGTATAAATGGATTGTGTACCTGGGAGTTTTTCTTTGTCTGGTAAAGGGGGAGGGAGCTGATAATGTTTTGTCTTTAAGCCAAGCGTTCATTAGCCTGAGTGTGCAACAGTCGGGGGGGGGGGG